GGAATACACTAGGGTCCAGCCCAGGACCAGAGGGGTTTCCCTTTCACAGGCTCACCAGGTACATTTCATGCATGTTAAAGTTTGAAAAGCGTGAGTCAGACATCATGTCAAGGGTGTAGGGGAAAGAGGAGTGCATTATCACAGAGGCTTAGTGTTCTTTAGAAAACAATAATTCTGATGGGGGTCAATAGACACCACTGAGAATTAGAGAACACAAAAGGCCTGGAGGTTGTGGCATTGTGAGGCTATGTTCCAACTATCTTAGCATGCTGCATGCCTGTCATCCTATTATCAACCGCCTATGAATTTGCCTGGCAGGTGAGCACACAAACAGGATTGACAGCTCCAGTTTCCATCCCAAGACTTACCATGCAAATTGTAGTGCTATATAATCCATGACTTCAGAGAAATAGTCCTCTGAGGGATGATTCCCCCAATCTGTTGTCCAAACCCTCAGCCCTGAATTCATATATATACAAGCAACACTAAGTGGACTAGGTAGGTTGTATTTACATATTTATTCATTATGTATGCACTAAACATTTTTAAAACGGTGCTATGAGATTGAATTGGAACGGGGTGGGGTATGGGAAAGGTTGAGGACAGAAGGGGGAAATTACATAAAATTAAAAATAAAAATATAACCCCATAGATAGTAATTCCTAAGTAGGTTTTCAGTGAGAAGTGGGAAGTTGTTTTATGAGTTTTTTTTTTAAACTGGACCACTAAAAGCCATTAAAATACAAATAGTAGTGTGTGTTTTGTGCTATTCTGATAACAAGTGGCACCTTACCTGTGGTTTTGCTGAAGACTTGGGTTGGTGACTCAGGTTAGAAATAGGACAGTGAAAAGATGTCTCCTGAATGCCCCTGGGTGCTTTTGCCTTTGCATTCTGCTGGAGTGGAGTGGGATGCATCATTCCCTGCTGCTACTGATTTTGGATTGGTTATGTTCTGAGAGATTTCCTTAAAAAAATTCCTGTGTTGGTGGTAACTGGATGCCTGATAACACGTTTCAATCATTGAGGAATGTTTGACTTTCTCTTGCCACATTGCTTAGGAGTAGGGCAGAAGGCTTAGGAATTTCTGGTAATGAGAGTTATAACCGCTGGGTCTTGTCTCATCCCAAATTTTTACTCAGGTAGTTTAAAAAAGTTTTACTATTACCTGCTCAATATTAAATGTGGGCACCATTAAAGGAGAGGCGAGCAATTAAAACGCTACCTGCAGTAGTGTATACCCAAACCATCAATATTTATGCTCAGACTGACTGAACTTCTTCCTTCAGATTAAAAAGATGGGTGGGGATTCATATTTAGAGTTGTTTCCAAGAAAAATCTTCCTATTTTGGGCTTGTACTATGTACATTTTCTCACATAAGTGTTGTTTGCAATATGATACTCATTGTCCATGACTATGCATCGCAGATCCTCTGAGAAAGGTAGATAACCAGACGTGGGTCAGACCCAGATATGATCAAGAGGTATACGGGGATTCAGTAGACTCATTTCGTGTCCACTGGAGAAGTCATCTGAGTGGTTTCTTGTCTTCCTGTCTTGCACATGGACTCTCTCACTCTCCTCTTTTGGTCTTCATGGAGTCATTAATTACCACATCTTAAGTGATTCCACTCGCCAGTTTTCCAAAGGATTTAGGGTTCTGGAATTGTGTTCTTCCAAAATTCTCAGTTTTCTCAAACTTATGTTCTCCATCTGTATCTAGAAGTACCTGGTGCAAAAGGCCAGTGCAGGGTCTATAGGATATGAGTACATGCTGAAGAGGGGTAGAACAATTTGCTCACAAGAAGTGCTCTGCTCTCTTCTGATCTTAGCAAAGTGACCTTTTCTCATTCCCATACTCATGATGGACAACAATCTCTAAGTGATTCTGAAGTTTGGGACTGAAAGACACTATCAGGTGTTCTAGATAAGCTTCTGAAAGCAAAGTTGCCATTGAGTGTCCTTGGCGAACACTTGAGTGTGACTATTAGCTTCCCACATGAGAAGTTTGAAATGTGGTCCTACACACCATGACCCCTATCCTCCCAGGCCACCTTTACCTCATGGTACCAGCTCACATTAACCTGGCATTCAAATGTATTCATTCACATTTCTGAGGAAAGTCCTCTAACTCTACAGAAATTCCGTGCAGAATTTCTCTTCCAACAGGGGCGACTTTCTTTTGTCTTTCGGTTGTAAATCCCATCCATTGACCAAATTCAGCTTCTCCATACAGCAATGCAGGCTTCCAAATTACTGGCTCAGGATGCTCACATCACAAGTGGACATTTCCCAGTTAATGGTCTTCACACAGGCTTAGTTGCCAGATTATGTGCTTACATGTGTATATTTGACTGTATGCCCGTGTATATAAACATATCCCCATTTGAAGCAGTAACTCTTTTCATAAGACAGGTTAAACTGCCTATAAGATGGAAGAGCTATAGGAAACTTTTTTTGGCATTTCTTTTAAAGTAGCTCAGGAGCCTTGTAAATTGCTTTGACATCATGATGGTGGACATGGACTTTAAGTTTCTTATATAAGCCATGGCTAGTAACATAATACATTAGAAAGTCTTTATTGTATTCTCAAAGAGGTGTGTCGTCTGCTTGAACTGTGAGATCCAATCAAAATTAAAACATTTTAATTTTTGGAATCTTTGGGATAGAGAGATCAAACACAGAAATAATGGAAGGTGATGAAGAATCTACAAAATGAAGAAACATGCGAAATCAGAATTCTGTCTTTTCTCCATCCCTCCCTCCTGATTTCTTTTTCTCCACTTGGACCTCATCTGCTGAAATACTCTTTATATCTGCTTATGTCACTCATAATTTTACACAACTATCAAATTACACTCAAAGCCCTTGAGAAACATTTGTGAAAAGGGAATTTCCCTGAGAGTGCCTCATAATGCAAAGAGCATCTGTAGGTGCAAGAGTCTAGTAACAAGGCCTTTTTACTTGCATGATGACTGGCCCATGAAATCTAGACACCCAGGGCCACAGAGCCTGAGGGAATCTTTCTCTAGCAAGCTGCCGGCACAATTAATCCTAATGTCTTGCCAAGTCCAATCTTACCTTAGACCACGTATTTCCACAAGGAGGATCTACTTTCTTTGGAGACAGCAGAATTGAGGTCAATTCAGTTCAAGTCCTGGACAACACAGACCCTGCTATAGATGCAAGGGTGTATAACCAAGACCCTAGTAGTAGCTACCTTGGTGTGGGTTAGAGGGGAAGAGCTCTGCATAGGAAGCATTATCAGATATAAATCGGCCCTAGGGGTCCCCCTTTTCCAAAAGTGATCAGTATAGGAGATGTCCTCTAGGTGGTATTAGAAAAAGCTTATGGGATCAGGGAGAGGGAAATTCTCTGATTTCCAAGTACTGGCAATCTCAAACTCTTGTCAACGTAAAGTCAGTGGATGTGGAGGTATTGGCATCCACAGTTAAGATTTCTCCATCCTATATACAAGCCTCTTTCTGGAAACCTTTTCTGCAGGCAGAACACTTGGATTCATTCCTCTCTCTTTTCAAGCCTCCTCCCACTCCATTTCTCAGTCAATATGCCTTCCTGAGTGAGGAACCACTCCTGGGAATGTGACATCACTCTCTGGTTTCTCTGCATACATGTAGATAGATAGCAAACTGTCAACCAGTGAGTCCCATTTCTCTGGTCCATTCTTCCAATCTTAGAGGTGTTCACCGACTCTTTTGCATGTAGGTTCTAGGATGGTATATCTGAGGGCCTACGCAGGTCTCTTGCCCCATTGATCGAACACACTGAGAAAACATTACCTTGGTGGATTTCTTTGAGTTCACATTGCCTTGAAGAGCAGGTGGATGAATAATATGCCGATATGGGCATCATATGAACTATGCAGATGTTAGTTTATCCAAATTATTTGGGATGCTACCATTTCAAAGTTTCGATTTGATGATACATCACATTCCTTCCTTCTGGTCTCTTTTCTGACAACTCTTCCAAATAGACCCCTTATTTCCTGAAGGTCACAGAGCAGGCAAACTCAGTATGGACAGACCAGTTTCTGAAGCACTGAAAAACACAGCCTATGTTCATGGGTGGCTCTCCATCCCCTGCCAGAACTAGGTCTTTTGTCTTGGGTGCAGGTGTAAGAGAATTCTGTGGCGTTACCCCAGCCCAAGGAGCCAGCCAGCCTTCTGTGTTTTTGCTGCTTCCTCTTGATGCTGGCCTTTAGTTGTCTGGAAGTTCATATACTTTACAGATATGTACTGCAGCCATATCCACTGTGATTTCATCCTTGCTTTCTTTTGTTGAGATGACATGCTTCCCTGTATGATATATTGCTTGTAGGGAGTGTGGTGAGGGATATGGATTAACTTTCTTCCTCCGAGCATTTTTTTAAATCGAATTCTCCACTTTGCTATCCAATGGAACATATTTTCTGCTACTGTCCCTGTTGACATATTTATTTTTCTCAAAGTCTACAAATGCTATGAGGAGATGAACCCTGTTTAATTTACACTCCATACCCCATATCCCCGAGGCCAAAGTAAAAAGCAGACACTTAATAAATGCTTGTTGAATTTACCTACTAGGCTCCTCAAAGAGTGCTTCTTTCCATATGGGTTTATAAGCCTATGGCACATTTGCCTAGGAAAACTCAGTCAACGATTTCTCACTTGATTGGGCAATTATACTAATAACTTCACTTTTCCAATATTCACCAATTTTTAAATTTCCAGGGCTTCACAGGAGTCTAGAGTTGTGCTCGTTCTCTGCCTCTCAGAGGGCCCACCCATTCACTGTCAAATAATTCAAGAAAAGAACTGGAGTTTGGGTTAGCTTGCTCTCCTAAGGAAAATTTAGGTGCAAGCATCATGGTTGCATGAAGCCACGGAGTTCTGATGACAGTGCATTTGGTAACAGGGTTGCTGAAGAAAGATTTCCCATTTGTTAAAGATCAGATAATTTAGTGATTATTGAGAGTCTAGAGGACTCAAAATCATCTCCTCACACGAAGATCAACTTCCTAAGATGAAGTTGAATATAATGTTTTGGGGGATAAAAGTTTGCTTTGTAATCATTTTCTCTAAGTTAAACAATTATTTTCATATTCAGGGAAAGGGGGGAGCAGTCTGAGAAATCCTAAAGGAAAAAGGTAGTTGACCTTGGTCAGGTAGATCACCATGTTCTTATTTTGAAGGCTGTGGGTTTCTGAAAGAAAACAGCAAGTTTCTCTTGTCATAAAATTTCTGTGGAGTATCAAATTATTATAAAGATGCCAGAAGAAGCACACTACAGGACAGTCTTTGGATGTGGTATGCTTAGTAAAGACATTCCCTAGCGGTTCTCCATTAGAAGTTTAGAATCAACCATCATCTCTCAGTCTTGTGACACTTTCTGAAGGCAAGTACTTAGTGGTTCATCTTTCTATAAATGATCCCTAAAGGACTTGTGTTCTAAAAACTGCCATGAGAATAAATCAAATTGCCATTAAACAATTTCTTAACACTGAGAATGTGTCAGATCCACATACATAGCTGGGTGGTGGTGGTGCACGCCTTTAATCCCATCACTCGGGAGGAAGAGGCAGGTGGATCTCTGTGAGTTCGAGGCCGGGATGGACCGACAGCCTCCAAAACAATACAGAGAAACCCTGTCTCGTAAACCTCCCCCCCCCCATAAAAAAGATATTCTAAAACTACACTTCTTACTATCCCAGTGCAAAATGCTTGACTTCCTTTTGATGATATTAGTTTCTTCAGCAACCATACCCTCTTTGGACACAACTTTACATGTGCTCTTTAAATGTCAAATAGTAGATTTTTCAAATCTTACTGTTTTGATTTATATCCATAATTATTGCTGGAACTCTGCCCAAGAGCATCTAGCAGTAGCCATACCACAACCTGACTGCTGTGCTGCCTGGTAATTTTCTGTCAACTTTGCCTGACATGTTTAAATTTATACTGCTACAAATTCTCAGGGTATGGACAAATTGTAGACTAGTTATTCAACAGAATGTCACACTAGTGTCTACTCCAGTCCCCAGTAGTCATTTCCATTTTGGAAACCATTATCATTTGCATCATCAACAAACTTCTGTCAGCATTTCTCTAAGCAGTGTGGTCTTCTGAGCTCTCACCAGAATTGTGCATTAATCTCAATTTACAACAATTTAAGGCCCAAATTTTGCAGCTTTGTTACCAGTTCCAAAGGATTCTGAACCATGTGCCCGTGTGTGTGTGTGTGTGTGTGTGCGCGCGCGCGTGCATGTGTGTGTGTGTGTGTGCGCGCGCGTGCATGTGTGTGTGTGTGTGTGCGCGCGTGCATGTGTGTGTGTGTGTGTGTGTGTGACCTTTTTGTGACTGTGCCAAAACAACTGACACAAACAACTTAAAGATTTATTTTGGCTTACCATTTGAGAGGTTTTGGTCCAGGGACACTAGTCTTGTCACTTTGGACCTATGATGAGGTAAATTGAATATCATGGTGAGAAGAATAGGGTAGAGTAAAGTGTTTACTTAAAATTCCCTGGGAAATAAAAAGAGCACCCTCTCTTTTATAATAAAGCTTTTCTCCCCAAACAAATTAAACCATGCATCCACAAATGGATTAGTCCACTGATAATGAGGTCAGAGCCCCAAATGCAGTTTCTACCTTTAAACATGACTGCTTTGGAAAGAAAGCTTTAAACCAACTGAACATTTGGGGAGACAATTAAGATCCAAACCACAACATTACTGAGTGAAATGATAAGTATGTTATTTTTCTTGATTATAATAGCTATTTCACTATGTATAAATATACTAAAATGTCACATTATGCTTCTCAGATGTCTACAATTAAAAGTTACTGGGGAAAAGGACCCTAAAATGAGGGCAAAAGTTGTCAAGTTGAATACTTATTTCCACTTTAAAGATATAGAAACTGATGTTGAGAGGAACAAAGACTTGCCTAAGGAAAATAGAATCAGTCAGTGGCAATATTCTGGCCATCTGACACCAGAAATAAATCTTATGTCACAACCTTGGGCTGTTTCTGCATCATAACTAAAACAAGGAAACTATTGTGTGAGACTGGGGAGTTAGGGAAGCTAATGGACACTAAAAAAATCATAGTTGAAAAGCAATCCCAGATTTTTGGTGTGCCTTTGGGAATTTATCAGCATACCCATTTATTCCCTGCATTCAGTGGAGTCTTGCTTAAATGGATTGGAGTGTTTAGAAATGGATCCTTTAAAGATATAACCCAGAACATCACTTGGAGGTTGGTTAAAAATATACGTTAAGTATTTGGGAATAAAGGTGTCTATGTCCTGTGAAAAGCAGTAAATGTTGACCCCATGTTGAGCCCCATAGGTCTGTTAAGTTATTGGACATCATGGATGTAAGCTACTCAGGGGGCCAGAGATTTAGAACAACTAAGATGGATGGTTGTCTTGGTAATGTTCCCAACAAATTCTATACAAAAGCATCAGATGGCAGGCCCCTCTTTTGTGTTTTCATCACATAGTAAAAGTCTGCAGGAACCCACAGGTTTCATGGCACAAAATCTGCCTGATTGAATTTCATTGAACAGGTCATATAGCAAGGTCCGTTGAAGGTTCAGTGCTCTGATTCTCCTTAGTTGTGAGTGGAATCTTCAAAAGAAGGGTAGAAAACAATGTGCTCTTAAATGAACTAGAGTCAAGTACAAAAGGAGCCAGAGGAAGAGGGTGGTCCTCTAGAGGCAGGAAGATATGAGGATATCCAGATTTAAAAAGGTATAAGGATAGTGCTAGCAAGTGGAAAATATTCATTGTTAGAGAAAGCCTGAGGATACTTGACCTAATGCAAGCAGAATTGACATGATGATGATTATGAGATGAGAGATGCATCCCCTCGGTATCAAGTCACCTGGTTATGGATGCCAGTTTTGGATGGTGGGAGTCAGTGCTTCTTCCAAATACATGAAAGAGTTTCCCACAGACTTGGAATATATAAATCATTTTGTTTCTCTCTGCTTTCCCAGCCTCTCATAACTCTTTCTTTTATGTCCTTGTAACTTCAGTTTGAAATATTGATTCTATTTTTGGAGATGAAAACTTGGAACTAATGGAGGAGATTTTTAGACTTGAATAGAATAGGAAACAAGATGTGCTTATTCTTTCAAGCTATAGAGACTTCTCCATAGGCCACGCCTCTCCCTGGATTAGGCCACACTTCTCCTTGGCTCTCCCATTGCTGCTTTTGGTGCTGCCTACCTGCCCATTTCTTCTACTTTTCTTCAGATCCCCACTGTACTCCACCCCCAGCCCTGCAAATGGTGGCATCTGAACACAGCTGCAAAATTCTGGTTTCTTTACTAAACAAGGGAAAATCTGGCACTTGTTGGGTTAATCCACACCCAGCGGCTCAGTAGCCTTGCTTTTGGTTGGCATAAGAACATGAATTACATCTCCCTATCCAGTGATGGAGCATGCCAATTTCTTTACATTAAAGACAAAGTAGTGTTTTTAACTAACATTTTCCTTCTTCTCCTCCTACCTCTCCTCAAATATGGTCAATGTGTTTAATAGGGTGAAAGGAATAAAGGGCCATTGGAGTATGTCCCCATGTCATAGCTCAGCCAGTAGCAGCAGGGTGTGGTAAATTGCTAGTGGGTCTCCTGTTGGATTTATTATCTTTGCCCTGGGAGCAGCTAACTGATTGTGGGTGGTTATAGTATCTGAGTAGATAACTTAGAGGACATCATAGATTTGATGATTCAAGACCTCAGTTCAATGTGACCTGAGAGGATTCCCAAATATAAAGGAAAATGATGTTTTCAGTGGCTTTAGCTTTGTGAGTATGACCTTCTGTTATCGAGAGGCACTGTCCATCCTTGGGGTTCTGGGTTGCACGACCTCATACCTGAGCCTTTTCTGCTTCTTGTTCCTGTGTGCTGGTTGGTGTTTAGCTGTTGAAAATATCTTCTCATATATAAGTGTACAGGATGTGCTGTGAGTGGGTGGGGCCTCAGTACTGGGCACACAGATGCCAATGACTTTCCCAAGTTAGTTAACAGAAGTTAGTAAATGGAAGGGCACTTTATAGACCTCTAGAGATTTATTTTTGGCCTCGTCTTGTCCTGAATCAACCATCGGACTTAACTTTTCTCTCTTGGTACTTCTGGAGCCACTGAGAGTTAAGTCTCTTACCCTCAGCCTCCAATCATTATCAAGTTGCTCACCATGACACATAGGATTCTGCCCTGTTGACTTTAGTAACATACTCAGTTCTTAAGGATGGACAGACCCACTGTTTGGAAACTTATGTGTGTGGTTCTGTCCACTTTCTGGACAAAGTGGTTAAATGTGTGAGAGGAATTGGTGAAAGCACTGAGAGAAAACAAATTTTGTGGTAGACTCACGCTTGTTTGCAGAACAAATGGCACAACAAAATCAAATCAAAATCATCAAAGCAAAACCAAACTCCAGAGTTTTCCTAAACCTATCGCCTTTATGGTAAATACGGTTTGTTTTTCAGTGTTGGATCATTGAATTATGTACGTGCTTCCTTTCTGGAGTTTTGAATGCACTGTTTAAAGCTTGGGTCAGTTGTTTTTCTTAAAACTATTGCACTCCTGCCTTTATGTACTTTTCTAGCTCACTAGAAGTCTTAGTCCTGCTGAATATTCCTGCTCTTACCACACCATGGAGGATGCCTATAGAGCATCATCATACCCAGGGAGGCATGCAGTAACTGCTTATTAAGTTTTAGAGGAATTTATAGACATTTAGGTTTATTTAGAGCAATGAAAATCATCTCACAGTTGGTCCTAGAAAAGGCAACATGGATTTCTTATGGTCTCGAGGTGAAGAGCCTCAGAGGGAAGGAACCCTTGTTTTTTTTGTGATTTCAATGTTCAACCTGTGGAAGCCTAGCCAGTACTCTGGAAAACGTCCCATCAAATATTGACAAGCTTTGATTCTACTGGCATCGTGATAACCCCGAAGGCTTCTTTTGTTATTGCCGTTTTTAGTCAGGTCCAAGTTTAAACTGAGAATCTGAGTTTCAGCAACTGAGATGCACAAAAGCTGGACCTAACTTCAGGTCCCATGGTTCCCACATGTTGTTCTTTACTCTTTCAGCCTCCTCAATAAAATCAGCCAGATCACACGGCACACCCCTACTGCGTGAAAAGAAAAGTTGCATCATAAGTTAAAGAGGAAGGCAGGAATTGGTGGTGCTGCACTAATAAAACTAGGGGGTCTTAAAAGGGTTCAAGGATTCAATATCATGGCCCATGTTGCTCTCCCCTTCTTGGTTATCTTTCTCATTAGGGAAACATGAACTGGGACTCCACATCATCAATCCAATGACTCAACATTTTTTTGGGAGCAAATTCTACAAGAAACAAGAAGACATTCAGTCAAAATGTAATTTTCTGGCCCAATTACTTATAACATTTTTCGTAGTTCCCACCTTGAATGACTCCCAGGAAGAAGTGGAATACAGGCATGCATCAAGGAAATATGCAGATCAGGATCAAGGAGCAGCACCCCAGGGTTGTCCTGTGGGAGTCCTCCTGCTCCTTGGTGGGAGCAGGTGTTTGAGTGAGGTGATGCTGCATCCAGGTATAGAAAATACCTTTCCACAGACATCACAATGGTCTCCCTAAGCAACCAGGGCTATCTGAGAAAGAAGTGACTGTGGGGATGAGTCTTGGTCTGCCAGACCATATGGTGTATGGAGGATGCAGGGAAGAGGAGAGCCTTCTCTGGTTATGGTATCATTTGGGACTGAAAGGTTGTATGTAAACATTCACCTTGCCACAGTTACAGAGAAGATGATGTGCAGCTCCAGTTTTATAAATTTCAAATGTGAAACATGGACAAACTACTTCTCTCTATAATATTGCTTGAAGTTCCTTTCCTCCTCCCCAAACAGTTCAAATACCTGATAATCTTATGACCACCTCTGTGAACCTTCTTAACCTTCATAACCAGATCTGTGGTAGTAGGTGGCAGAAGATGAGGGTGTCTAACTGGTCTGGGGGAGGAAAATGTGCTTGTGGTCAACATGTTAGAAAAATCTTTGCAAGGGCCTTTGCTGAAGGGACATGGGAGTAAGATCTAAGTTGTTGAATCAAATTATTTCATGGCACAATGTCAAAGACCACAGAAAGGAGGAGGAAGTGACTAGTCAAATATTATCAGAACTAGTTAAGAGGGTAGTCTATAGGCAGGTATATTCTTGTCTAGAATGTTCTTCTATGTGTGCTCTGTGGAGGACAGCATTGGTGAACTTCGCTGTGTTTATTCAGAGACAAAGTGAATCCTTAGCCCCATAACGCTTGGGTTTCCTTCTGTATGTTGATCACAGCAGGCTGCTCCTCCAGGGTTCCCTTGTGGGAGCGTATTGTGGAAGTGAGAAAAGAGGTTCCCAGAAACTAATTGTTTTGGCCTAGCTTCTTCTTGGTGGAAATAGCTACCAACATTGGTGATGGTTTTCATGGAGCTGCCGCTCCATGCTGGATTTGGGATCCAAATATGGGTCCCCAGAATTTGTAGAAAGTGAGCCAAGGACTGTTGAATATGGCGTTGGTGGAATCAAGGGAAGATACAGAAATATATTTGAAGCAAGGTTGACAAAAACTTGAAGGTCATTGGCTCCCTCAAATGGCTTCTGGTAATGGCCTTCCATTTTGGGCACAGAAAGTGGTGTGCCTGCAATTTTCCTTGGAGAGCCAGAAGATAACTCCAGTTTCTCTAGAAACAGTGGAGGTTAATAGTTTGATAATTCTCATGAGCATAGCTGGAAACCACAGACTGGTTTTTGCAAGAAAAAAGGAAGACATACAATTTTGGTGTATTTATGAGCCCCTTATTGCCTTCCCACAGGTCTGGACTTGAATGTCCGCCTTTCATCCCCTTTCCCATGCCTGAGGATGTAAGAATCCCATAAGGCATCATCTAGATTTTTTTCCTGGAATATGTGCCAGTTACCTGTGTTACATCTGCACTGTATCTCAAACAAAATTGAGGGCAAGACATCTCTGACTCCTCCAAAATCCTTAATACACACTAGATGCTAGGATGGGGATGTGCTGTCTGCAGTAAATGGATACTGGAGAAGTTTCTTTAAAACCATGTGGCAGGGACCATTGAAATCTTCATCAGCAAGGTAAACTTTACAGAAATAGGTAGAAGTAGAAGTACTTTTTACCGGGTCACATGACTGCCCTATGAATTAGGGGAGGCTTCAAAGCTGAGAAACACTCCGCCCTCCCCCAATATACTTAGACTCAGTCTCAGAATAAGAAAAGTGTCAGATTCCTGACTTGGAAAGATGAGCTGCTTTCCATCTTTTGATAATTCAGAGATCAGGGACTTGGATGAACTGACCAAAAAGGAAGAAGTACCATCCCAACATTCTCATCTGTGCTCCTACAAGTCATGCAAAGCTAGAGGGGTCCATTTAGATGCCATGGCTACATCCTATTAAAGATTAGATGCCAACTTTTAAAAAGAGGACTTTTGGGGTGTAAAATATGGTCTCCTTGGAGCTGTGAGTGACTTCACATAGCTGGGTGTCCAAGTCTCTTCCAGTCTCCCTTGTCTCAATATTGAGACTCTGTCTACCACCCAGTGCTCTGAGTGCTCTCAGACTCCTCTGTTTTCATACTTCCTCATTCTCCCCAGGTCCTTGGGCTTTGTGTGAAGTGTGAAGCTGTGGCTACAGACTCCCCTAAATCAAGGTCCTTTCTAATGGGATCCATTACTGCGCACCATAGTTTTTCTAAAACCCCTGGATCTGGGCACACAGAGTCCTGTTGTGTGTGTGAGAGAGGTGGTCAGATGAAATAGTTTGGATTAAAAGAAAGAGTGTGGAAATAGTTGCTTAGACAGCAGGACAAAATATTTGAAATCAGGACTGTTCTGGAAATTCCATCACAAAGGTGAAATCCTATATCATGGTTCAGGTGCCTTTCCAAAGACATTCATGTAGAATGAGTGGTCTCACCTCAACAAAGTGCCCCCATCTCTTATTCTGTAAGGTATAGGTTGTACTGAGTCAAAATGTATCAAGATATACTCACATCTGGCTAAAGAATGTGAGTTCCTTACCTGTTGTCAGTGTTATTCAATTTTAAGGTGCCTCTGCCACTGTACAAATCAGAACTTGGCAGTGTGAACAATTTATTCTTGCTGAGAAATGACCCAGGTAGGCAGTGGTCAGGTTTGAATGACCACCAGCATCACTATTATGGTGGAACAGACTGCAACTCACTCAGTTTAGCAACAGTTTCCAATTCTGGAATGGAAGGGAAGCAGATACAGCTGATCTGCCTTCTCTGGAGGCCAGACAAGATGGCCTTCAGTGGGGTGCAAGCTCTTGAAATTCAGGAGACAGAAGTCCAGGATGACTAGCTAATATTGATAAGGAAGCTTGGAGTGGTCAAATGGCCTAGGATGTCCCAATATATCATGCTGCCAGCATCAGCATCATTGGGAGTGCACAGCAGACCACTCAACTTGGCAGCTGATGGGGGATGTCCTTGTGTATATATTTTTCTCTTATTGGTTGATGAGTAAAACACTGTTTGACCGACAGAGGCAGGAAGATGAGCAGGGCAAGGAGAATTCTGGGAAAGGCAGAGAAGCACCTGAAAGGATGCCATGGAGGGAACGGGAGGACAGGACACTCCAGGTGTTCTCTGGCAAATTAAGGCTTTGTAGAAATACATAGATTAGTAGTTATGGGTTAATAATTAAGACAGACCTAGCCAGTGAGAAGCCCTAGCCATTGGCCAAAAGTTTAATAATTAATATATCATCTGTGTGTTTATTTGGGGCTGAAGTGGTGGGGCCTAGTGGGACAAGAATCTCCAACAACAGGCAGCAGTTTCCCATTCTGAATGGGAAGGAACTAGGTACAGTTAATACATCATTCCTAGAAAGGGCCTTGCTGCAAGCAAGTTCTCATCGTGAGGTTTGGCCAGGGGCAGTAGGTGCCAAGACATCTAAGCTCAATGACTGTCATCGATCAGAATGCTTCTCCTTCCTAAACTCTTTGTGTTTTGTTCCTTTTCTGTGTTTGACATGGTATTTGTATTACTGTAGAAACAGTCAAGACTTGACCCTCTTCTGTGAGCTCACAGCCTGCTAGAGAAGGCAATCTGGTTGAAGCAGACCTAGAACAGAATTTAAAAAGGAAATAATTGATAACAAGGCATAGGGGCCTCGGCAACCTCACATTGAGAGACCTTTCCCTGCTGGGCAGAGTCACGAAGGTTACCCCGAAAGGTTGTTTCTGCCCCAAATCTGTACCTGGCCCCAGGAAATGCATGCAGAAGAGAATTGAGCCAGTCATGTTGGCAGGGCGTGTCACCAATGTGTTATACAGCTGTTCAATCCCTGGTGGTGAGTGCTGGGGTAAGGAGGTGGGGGGTGCTGGGGGGCTGGAAATCATATTTTGGAAAAACACATTGAAGAATCAGAACAGGACCTTATAATGCTGTATATAAAGTATGAACCCAAGCCTATGACTTGGGACAACAGAGACTATTACTGTGGAACTCTTCGTGGTGCAGGAGCTACACATGCACACGGGAGGTTGTAAACCATAGCCCTCTCCAGGGCACAGACAGGAGCTCAAGGATCAGTTCTGGGGCCCACACACAATGATGGAGTCTAGATACCATGCCTATTAGCATCTGAACATGGGTCTTAAAGCTAAGAGGGAGACAGGAGGAAGCTTGGTTTGGAGCTAGACGTGGTGTGACGTGCTGGCCTCTGATAAGTCTAGTTATGCTTGGGTGGGCGTGGGGTTGGGGTGGGGGAAGGGGAGGGTGGCAAGTGGATGTGGTGGTGTGAATGTACTGAGAAATTATTGACACTAATGCTTTGGAAAGCTGGGAGCTTTTCTGGCTGTAGAAGACTCCATCATGTGTGAATCAGGGCTTAATGAGGACTAATAATAAAGTTGAGCCAGCATGGAAGGGAAACTTTCCAAGGTTTACCCAATCAGTTTGCATCAGAAGCATTATAATACCAGAATGTTCCTGACCCTTGCTGCATGTCACTTGTCTACTCGGGACATCTCCTGGGAGATGATGGCAGCTAGTGGGCTAGCTTGGATTCTGCTCTTTTGTCTTGGTTCCCCTCAACCTGCAACCTACCCAATTCAGTCAGTCCATTTCTGTCTGTATTTAGGGTCTCAATATTCTGGTCCTGGCTTTCTGCCTTAAGAGAGTCTTTGTTTTCAATACTGACTGCTCTTCAATCCATTTCAAAATCCCTGCCCCAACAAGTCACTTAGTCCTGGAAGCCAGCTTTGCCAAACTTAGCTCTAACCTGAACTGCATGGTTGGCCACAGTTTTACTGATCTTATGTCTCTGTGCCAAGGTCAAGCCACTACCTAGAGCAAGGCATAGAATGCTGAGAACGAGGCACCTGCTGCTACCTGGCCTCATTTACATAAGAGTAACTTCTGATGAAGGAAGAGCCTGAAGAATAATGTCTTTGAGATAAAATTGAAGATTTGGGAGACACAATGGCATAAAGGCGAAACATAACTGTCAATAGAGCTACCAGGGT